TTATATTACGAAATTGGAAAATTATTAGCAAGAAGATAAATAATTCATAATCCATCTAACAGATTACTCATTTCAATTATATATCCATATATAGAAATAGCCAAAATCATACCTTGCTGAGTTGGGACCTACTAACTAAAAGACCTTGATTTGGGGTCAATGTCAAAAAGTTATACCATGCAGTTAACTCTCCAATGTTAAAATAATAATAATAATAATAAAAGAAGCAAAATCATAGTGTTGTGATAACAAAGTAACTAATACATAAAAATTGCAAACCAGCCAAATTAATCATGAAATAAACCAATTTGTACTTTTTCCTTCCCTAAAACTGAAAAGATTAATTAGAATTAATTTACACCATATAATTACAAGAAACATACATCACAGTTGCAATTGGCAAGTAAAAAACAAAACTTTGTCCATAAGCACAAAAATTTCCATCCACACCTTAGCCCTAAAATGAACAAAATCACATAATCAAAATTGGGGTTTTACAGAGTCAAGAAAATCCCACCCACGATTTACATTCATGGAAACATTAATTGTTAGAACGAAAGGAAAAATTATTGAGTGGAAGAGAATTAAACCAAAGGGATGCTCCAGCTTGAATGAGCTCTTAGCCATGGTGACGTTGCTGCAAACTGCTACCCACAACCATAAAAAAGAAATAAAAAATAAAAATAAAAACAGATTAGAATCGAATCAAGATTGAAATATAGATTTGTAAAATGGAGCAGAAAAGGATTTGGATTCGAGAGGAATGGATTTTGGGTACCGAAGAGAGAAATCTGAGGGCCGATTTGGATTTATGGAAGGAAAACACAAAACTCTAAACTCTAAATGGTTTATCATACTGCTCTGTATATCAAAAAAAAGGATAATAATAATAATGATGATGATAATAATAAAAACCTTCCTTGTTTTATTGATTTTAAGTAGGAACCAAGAACTAAGAACTCATACACAACTCTTACGGAACTCTCTCGCAGGCATAATTATACAAAATTTTGATAGTTTACTTCTTTATTTGTCATAAACAATTAATTATTTTTTAAAAATTTTAAAAAAATTAAATAAAAAATAAATAAATTTTAACTATTGAAAGTATAAATATAAATGAAATTTGTAGAACAGCAATGGATTCCATTTACAATGGGTAGGGATACATGTAAATGGTATGCACGTAGGACACATCACAGTATCACGCTCCATGTCCATCTGAAAACAAAATCAGTAATGGATAGATCTTAAAATCATTGAATCATGGCTCATAATTTAGCACGTATGGCACCTGAGGTAGAGAGTGACAGGATTTGGGTAGGGGTTATTGGTTGCCCTGTGTCCCCTGCTCATGTGTCTATTTGACAATTCATATTAAATGAAATTTGTGCTTTTCATAAAAAGAAAAAAAAAAAAAAGCATGTCTCCTAAATTTCTTCCCTAAATGTAAGGGTAAGGACTAATTCTTTTTTTTTTTTTTTAAAATATAAAGATAAATTATTTTTTTAAATTATCAATCAAAATAAACCATTAATTATTTAACACTTGATGTCATCACACGTTAGAAACTTATTTATCACTTAAGTAACTTTTAATAAAAATTAATATGTGATGATGTTACATATTAAATACTAAATAATTTATCTTGATCGATAATTTATAAAAATAATTTTATTTTTAAAAACGTACATGTCTACTTTTTTTATTTAAAAGCGAAGTTAGGGGTTTTGACTAAAAACAAATCATTGAATCTCGTGTTGGAGACTGTCATATGTATATTGATACAATATGTTCCATTTCACAGATATTAGTCTTAAGTTCATAATAATAATAAAAAAAAGGTTATTAGTCTTTTTAAAACGTTTTTTTTTTTGTTTATTTGTTTATTTATTTTTGAGTTTGATCCTTTCCACCTTGAAATTAATACTTTTAGGTTAGTAAATATTAATTTAGCCAAATCATGTAGTAACTTGGTAGCAATGAATTGTTATACGTAGTCATTTTAATTACCAAAGGTGGAAAGTGTAGTCGGATGACAGAGTGGATGATTCCAGTATTTTAGCGCCTAATGCAATAAATCTAGAACAGATGTGCAAGTGAAGAATGTGAAAAGGGGAGAGAAATTTCAGAAATTGGTTAGGTATCTTGCTTGCTCTTCTGTTTAAGCAATCCCAAAGCTGTAATTGCAAGAGATCCTCCTGTCAATTTGGTGCACCTATTCTGTCAAAGAAACAAAATCCCATTTCCCTGGAAAAAAAAAAAAAAAGCAACAACAACTATCCTTAACCATTACCCCAAAGAAAAATAAAAAACCACAACTCTCCTTTACCACTATTCAAGAAAAAAAAAAAAGACAACTATTCTTATAGAAATGCTATAATTATAATATTATTATAATATTATATATAATTATAAATTTATAATAATAATGTAATATTAATTAAATAAGTACCTAATATTATATATTACTTATTAAATAAATATAATTAATTATAAATTAATATATTATAATTATAAATTTATAATATTACACATAATTATATTATATATATTTTTTTGAACATATTATTTTAATTATTCTTAAAGTGAATCACTTTGTAACTTTTAAAGTCCCATCAACAAATAATCACCCTTTTTAGCATATGAGTCAGTAAATTTGAGTTTAAAAGTGAAAAGCTTATCATTGCTCTTTGCTCTAATTGCATTCTCTCTCCCGCTGGGAATTCTCATTTACCACTTCCCCACTGTTTTAAAATCCGATCCAACTCGGTTGATTTAACCGATTAAACTGGATTCAGTCGTAAGAACCCAAAAAAAAAAGAAAAAGAAAAAGAAAAAGAAAAAAAGATCGAAGTTATAATCCTTATTCATATCTCTAACCACAGTGGTTGGATATGTACAGCTGATACTATTTATTTAAGCAACGTTTTCGCATTTTATGGAAACGAAGTTTCATCTTCAACCGTTAGCCCGTCCGTAATTGGCAAAAACCTTCCTCTTCCTTTTTTTTTTTTTTTAATCCTTTATCATAATAAGTTTATAAATTTTAATCCCTCATCTTATACCATAATACTTTGAACCTTTCACCTATACAAATTGAAAAAAATAATCATTAATTAACGTCAAATTATAACATTTTATTAGTTCTGTTAATTGATTGTTAATTTTGTTAATTGATTGATAATTCTATTAACTGATTATTAACCCTATTAATTAACTGTTAACATTTCGTTAATAAAATTACCAAATAAAATTGAATTTAAATTTCATGTCTTTTATAACAAAATGTTAACGATTAATTAGTAGAACTAATGGTCAACTAACAGAATTAATAATCAATTAATAAATCTAATAGTCAACTAACATGACATTAAATAATGACTTTTTTTTTAATTTTTATAATTGAGAAGTTAAAAGTGTCATAATATAAGATAAAGAGCTAAAAACTACAAATTTATTAAAGTAAAAAACTAAAAATAGGTTTATGCCCTCCATAATGGTTATGCTCTAGCTAGCTCACGTTAAAACTTAGACCATGCTGCTTCTCCTTCGTATCAAGGAACATTGGAACTATATATGTATCTGCCTCCCGGTGGACGGACCCATGAGAACCATTATGCCATCTCAAGCAGCAATCTCTATCCATTCTACCCAGCTTTCTATATAGGCCCCAATCCCATGCTCCATGATGTGACGATAGAAGATAAATGTTAATAGATTTAGAAATTAAATCATATAAAACTGTAAGTAAATACAACTAATACCTTCTACTGCATCAGTTATAATAATATTTTCACCTTTCATGATTTGTACATTGATGAAGTACAAAACTGGAGGTTGGGGAATTTGATCACCTTTGAGCAACCCCCTTCTGAACCAACATGTCATAGACTCTATCTACCTTACTTGGTTCCACTTTGAAGAGGCTGTGAGCATCTGATTTCTTGCTAATATTGCCCTTCAATATCTCCATTGATAAGATCTGCAACATCCTGAGATAATGTGAAGGGAGTATTCTTAGCTCCCCACAAAGCTGTTTCTCCTGCAAAAAAGAACAGCTCGCTCTAAATCTGAATATTGTTAGAAGCATGTGCTTGCAGAATGTGGATGTGTGAAAGCAAAATTAGGGACAACTACGTATTAAAAATAATGAAAATTTCAAAAACTGCTTCAATCATTCAAACACATTTAAAATGGGGATAAGACAGATTGTGTCCTTACAGTCTCAGACAATAGATCAGCGCCTATGAATTCAGTGATATCCCAATCATCTATTGAGTTTAGGATCACTTGTTCAGCTGCATTTGAAGAATCCCTACTAAAGGGCTGCAGGCCAGTGGAACCTTGAACAAAGCCTTGAGGGCCACCATGTAATGGTCCTTTCCCAGCAGGACCAGTCTGTGTGCTTTCCTTCAATCTCAGGGCATTCTCTTCAGCTTCCTTCTTCCTCTTTTGTTCAATAAATTTACTTGCTTCAACAGCTGTTCGGCAACCAGCAGCACGTGCTTCCTGCATGGTTATCTTCACATGAATAGATATACATATGTAGGATATATCTGCACGCATGTGGTAGAGAATATGGCAATGACTGCCCGGTATATTTTCAAACTAAGTCTCTGTAAAAGATACTTTTGTACATAATCTGGTTAAAAAGCAGGAATGATCTAAGGCTTGCAATTAACCTGAAGATCTTGTATTCTTTTGGCAATCCGATGTTCCTCTATAACACTTTTAAGTAACTCCTCATGCTCTTCTTTTGAGTGGAATCGCATAAAAACCTTTAACCGCTGATATATTTCCCTCTCTTCTGATGAGAGGTTCTTCTCAAAAGGGTCAGGATAAAGTAAATTTCTTTCTAGTATAAAGTCCTTCCTACGCTTCCTTTCATCCAGCCTGTTAAAATCTCATAAAAAAAAAGCAGCAGGATACTTTTTTAACACCAAAGTTGAGCAATACCAGAAAAGCAAAATACAACTTATGTTACAAGTGGCAAAATATTATTTTGTAACACTTGTGTGCACACTGAGTATTTTATCTATTTAACCTACGGTAAACAATATTTTATATATATATAAAGAATATGGTAAACAGTCATGAAAAAAATTATTTAAAACAAAGTAAAAACTAAAAGAACTACCACTAAAAAGTAAAAAAGAAGAAAAGAAAAACTACTAGAAAAGGAACAGAAGACCTTAGTAATAAAAGCAAATCTGTTTTAAGTGTTAGGCCTAAGCCAAAATAAAATCATGAACCATCAAAACAATGTATTAAGAGAAATAATTGGTGCTAAGTTGAAATTTCAGGTTCACCAAATTTACTCTTAAAGATAGATTCATTTGGCTTTGAAGTTAGAAAGATGCAGCTACTTCAAAACATGCTAATTTTATATCAACATTCACCCTAAAATCTTAAATTTATTGTCAATACATCAGTTAATCTAATCCTCTATCATACCCATTCACAAATCCTAATTATAAACTAATATTTTAAGGTTGATAAACAAACATTTTAAAATTTTCATCTCAATTAAACCTAATTGTAGGCTCCAAAATCTCTAGTTTGCTTGTTCTCTGACATCACATCAATTATGAACCATCTATTGATCTAAGGCATCATTCCCTGCTTTACAATGTCAACTATAAAAGGGAGTATCATCTGAACATACTAGATAATTTCTAACTTTCCCTTTTTAGTCTATTGATTTAAAAAATAAAAAATAAAACTGACCATCTGCCACAGCCATGTCATGCTATTGTTAGATCCATATTCATGTAAACAGATGAACACCTTTTTGAGTAGATACGTAGCACATGCAATTTCAGTTGATGTTCTGCATCTGTGTCTGCATCCTTGAATTCCATGTCTGCTAATAACTGTTCGGCATCATTATCATATTCAATATCAAATTCCTGCCTCTTGAAATTGTAGCCACTCAACTCAGTAATGGAAGGTCCCTCATCCATGGAAACTCTAGGTTTTTTCTCTCCAATCCTCCTGTCTGATTGACATTCTGACAATTTTGGTTTTTAGAGAATGAAAAAGCAATCTTTAAATACATAAAAAAAGAATTACTACAACACGGCCAAATATGTCACGAACTACTACAACACAGCCAAATATGTCACGAACTACAATATGTCATGAACTACTACAACATGGCTAAATATGTCAAGAAGATTTGCCTGCCAATCTAAGGTACCAGCTGCACATTAGTAATACAGAATCATGGAAATGCAAGTTGGACAAAATAATCATAGTTCACAAAAACATGAAAAAGCATACCTTCCACTTTAATACAATCATTAATCTGGTTCATATGTGAGGCCCTCTTAACTGCACTCGAGAATGTCTTACCAATGCTTGAACTAACTTGAGGGCCTACTTCTAATGGCAAAGAGAACACTAAATTAATACACATAATTGAAAAAATCTATTTGTAGAAGGGAAAATAAATAAAAAGTTTCAACAAAAATGCCTCATGATTGTTTATGCCATACCTTCAGAAAAGCTAGATGAAGAATGACAAGCAGGGTCGTCTTTTCTTTGTGCTTCATATCTGATTAAACACAGGCAAAAGGTAGCAAATAAAAAAAAAAAAAAAAAAAAGTAAACAGAAAGGGGACCAATGGCTAAGCAGATAGTTACTTGATTTTTGCAGAGATAGGAGACTCTTCTTTCACCGTAACCTCAGGAAGCATAGGCAATTCTACAGAAGTTAAGGACTTAGCCCAGCAAACCACAAAATATTCTCGGACTATGAAATGAGGAACCTACTAATAACTATTAATGAGCTAACCTTTCTTGACTTCATCATGCCCTTTGGCCATAGCAAGGAGCTCCTCCCTGCTCTTTCCCATAACATGAGACATGTCCTGCGAAAATTACGATGAAAAAAAAATCAGGGTTAAAAAAATCACATTCTGTGGGTTTGTTGTGCCTGTGCATTGGTGTTGCATTCATTAGTTGTACTTTAAACCCAAGTTCTAAGAGCAGTCTTACTGCGAGAGGAAAGCATGGAGAGTTCATGTATATGGCATTGTAGTGATCAATACATTGTGACTTGTTCTTGGTTCCAACATGTTCAGCAACTTCAGTCCAGTTCCCAAATCCATACATTTCAATGCCCTAAAATAAAACATTCATCCTTCTAAACATCAAACAAAGTGGGATAAAATGCAGATTCAAAAGAACAAAAAAAAGTAGCAATTATCAAATATACATATCAAAATCTACAGGTTGATAAAATGTTGAAATCATGGAGGAAAGAATAAGAATACCTCAAGAAGTAATATCTCTTCATCTGCATTCCAGTCTGGACAAAGAAGCGGGAAAGACAAGTTATCCTGTCAATAAGAAGAAACTGATTGATACACACAAACATAAACATCCATAATTCTCCCAGAAGTTCAAAATTCTACTTAAAATGCAATGACACTTCACTGTTTCTTTTATTTGATTATTCACAAAGATGGCCAAAAAATAAACTTCCATTTCGCTAGAAGAGCTTCCCCTGATGGGGTCTGACGCGGCTCGATTCTGGATTAGTCGGGACCCAATGTGGTTACCGGACACCGGGAGGTTAATACCAAAAAAAAAAAAAAACACTTCCATTTAGTAATACTCTGTTGCATTCAGCAGGGCAGTGAAATGCAAAATGCCACAAAAAAATGTTCTGATAAATTAGCACAGTTTTATAATTGCAAGTAATAATAATTCTTAGTAACCAGCATGATCAAATTAGTCTTAGACTAAAGAAACAGAATGCACACTAATACGAGTAACGGTCTTAATTCTAAAGAAGAGTGTCTCAATTTCTAGTAACAGCTACTTTAAGCAAAAGGATTTTTAGAGCTTGAAAATTCAAACAACAAAGTTTACAGCTTTTTTTTTTTTTTTTTAATCAAATTATATCATCATAGCATACTTCTCTCAGGAGGAAAAAGGAACAGGAAACAGGAGACATCAGATACTATCTTGTTGGATAATTGATGGTGGAAAACAAATATCAGCAAAATGATCCCCATGACACTGAATTGCTAAATGATGAGAGAAAACAAGAAGACTAACCATAACTCTGTATGGATGGTTGCACTTGTGAGGATTAACTTCAGCTCCAACAGAGAAGCACTCCACACAAAGGTCAAAATCTGGACACACAGCACATTTGATACGAACCACCGCCGAAATGTCCTTGTTGCAATAATTGCAGTGGTAAAGTCCACCTTTCGCTTCACCCAGTATTTGCTCTAAATCATATCGAACGAAATGTAATTACCAATGACGAACACAACTCTAGAATTACAAAATATTATGCATTTCATGAGGTTTATGCTTTAATTTCAGAGTACCTGCAACACCAATCTCCAGATTTTCAACACCGGGTGCTGCTCTTTTCCTTTTCGATCTACAGACAAACAAAGCCGAAAAAAATTCAATCTTCCATGTCTAGAAATACAGAGCAATTCGAAGCTCAGATTATGGAAAACAAAAAAGCATTGGTGAGACCTGTGGTTGAGATCGTCGTCGGTGGTAGAACGAGAAAGCCCCCTTGAACGGCCCATTGCTCCGGTGACCGGAATCCAGAGAGGGAGGTATGGTAGAAACCCTAGAATTATTTAAGGCGGGTATGCATCGAGGTAAAAACGCACGCCTGAATTCTGTGCCCCTAAATTTAGCTTTTTTATGGCTTTTCATCCTTGAAGTTATTTCTTATGGATTTTAAGTCCTTCAACCCACAACTTAAACCTCTTAGGTTACATCACACGCCTTTCATTTTGATATTAATCAGCTAAAGAAAAATTTGACAAAACAGATTAATAATAAAGTGAGACTCCTCGTTTACGTGAATCCCTATGATATACCTAGCTTACTTTTAATGATGTATTAAAGTTTGGGATAAATAAGCATATGAATTTTGTTATTTTTACTATTAAAGGATATATATTTTTTAGATTTTTTTAATATAAACTTTTAAGATTTATAAGTGAGTTTGTAAACTTTTTTTTTTTCTAAAAAAGGATACAAATTTTGTGATCTTTTTATTTAAAGTTTTATTAAATGATTACCAATGAGTTAAATAATTCAGTAATTATCTCCTTTCATTAAAAATAAGAGGTTTTGACTTCAAATCACATGATATACGGATGAGGTAAAATAAAAAATAAAATATTATTATCTTTCATTGTGCAATCAAAATTCAAAAAAAAAATTTATTAAATGACTAATAATATGGCAAATACCAATTTTAATCTTAATATTACAAACTTTATATCTTTAAATAAAAAAATAAAGATTTACCATCTAATTTAAAATTTTAAAAATTTGTATTCTTAAATAAAAAGCAAAATTCACATTCTTATTTAAGTATTTTCTCTGTTAAATCATGTAATTGACTAATTTTTTTTTTTATCAGCCATGTAATTGACTAATTATACCGAGGTGGTATACCTGTTGTTCACAAAAATGAAAGGCAGGAACTAACCTAAGAAGGGTAAAGAAAAATGATTGAAAGATAATAATTTTATATATCTCTACATATTATTTAATAATTAACTTTTTTTACCCCAAAAAACCTATAATATTATAAGCATTTACTATGTAAAAGTTGTGAATAGAAGTTATACGAAAAGGTTTTCACATGTCACTATCAAAATTGCACTTTCTATTTGGTATTAAGCGATACACATGTGAAATGAACGAAAGCCAAGAAAGGAGATCAGATGCTGCAGAAATGAACACATGTCCAGAAAAGAAAAGCTGCTAGAAGGAGAATATGGTTATTACATTGTAAAACCTCATCTCCGGTATCATTCTTTTTCTCATGTTTCTCCCTTCATGTCTTTAAATCAAGTTATGTATCATTAAGTACATGGCTATGCCTCACAAAGATGCAAAAATGCTACCACTTGAATATATTTCATAATTGGTATTGTCCAGGTCTATCACAAAAAGATTTTGCCCATTTTTTTGGTAGAACATGGAATCTGCGCATGAAAATTGAAAAGCATAGATTAGGACTACTTCATGATATGTTTTGGCCAAAGAACCAAAAGAGTAGGACTGCTTCAAGAGATATCCACAGTGTGACTGCGACTTCATTGTTTGATGCATGGTGCATACCATATGAGGTGGTATATACTAGTGCAAGTAATGGGATAATGCATCAAGACACGATGACTACTTACCAGCTACTTATGGATTTGCAGCTTGTACTTGCAATGTCAACAATTGAGATTTGTGGTCAATACCATTGAATATGTAAGTCCCACACATTGGGACAAACTGTTTTGTTATCAGCTGCAGTAAAGGATGAATATTATTGTGAATATTTATGAATAATTTGATGTCTTGCTGTAAGATTAAGTTGAATCAATAGCTCAGAATAAGATTAAAAGGGAAAAACCTTGATCACTTCCTGTGATGCTATTCCTCCAACAAAGGCGGCCACAGAGTGGAGCTCTGCAGCACCAAACCGACACATCTCATTGATAAGGTCCTCTGTCAATGTTAAGCCATTGCAACCCAAATCATTAAGTAGGCTAACTGCTGTAGTTTTCAAACGAGATATATCCTCATCCATTCCACTGTGAAACCACCAAATGAATTAGCACTGAAAGGTCAGACAATTGAGAACCCCAAAAGAAGAGCATTTTAAAGAAAAGAAATAATTACCCATCAAACTGCCCAGGAAAACTATTGAAGTTGGCAGCATACCGATCAACGGCTCTTAAAAGAATATAGAATCCCATAGCAAAGCTACCAAACAAAAAACAGGCACCAAAAACTGTGAGCAAGACAAATAATATCTTCCTCCTATGGATTTTGAGGGGTAAAAGAGGAAACAGGTATTTTCATTTTGCTGGATTGAACTTAAAAACTTTCAGTAGTTGTTGAAGTTACATTTCAAGGAGCTATTAAGCTAAAGCTCAAAACCAAAAAGCAATATAGCAATCAATATGTATAAGGTTACATCAATAAAAACAATGGTTTGGCAGACGGCAAAATGTTTCCTCTAGAGAGCATACTGTTTTAATCAAATTCAGATAGCAAACACACAAGCAAAAATATAGAAGTATTACTTTGAACATGAGGCAATTTTTTAGCTTAAACATAAAATCTGCAAGAATCTTCAAGTTTTGGACTAAAGAACAATCCCTTTTATCAAGGGATTAAATAATGAAACATTATGTGCCCTTTTTGCCATCTGTAAACATGTAGAGATTGGAGTTAAGGTGGACCTGTAATCTTCATCTGTTAAATACTTCTGCAGCTCTGGAAGAGATGGGTTATTGAACTCATCCTCAATGAGGCGATATCTGCAAACCTACAAAGTATGTATTAAATGTCTAGTTGGGAGGAATCCATATCATGTTTGAGAAGAGGCATGCTCAACATTGATACTACAGATTTTACCAGTAAATCCACTGTGATACCTTGCATAGGACCCAATACTGTTTAACATAGAATCTAGGTGCGCATAAAAATGGGATGCAAATTAAGAGGAAAAGAAAGACAAATTAAACAGGTTGATTCAAATTCAAATGAATACTGAAACAATGATGAACAGGAGGCTGAAATAACCAAAGATCGATATTCAGGCACTTTTGACAAATGATACTTTGAGGCTATGTCATATTCATATTTACTTCCAGAGTTGAACCTTATGAGGGATTATGATGATATTTACCATCAGAAGTCCTTTATCAGATCAATTTAAAAAAAGAAAAAAAAGAAAAAAAAGAAAAAAACAATTAGTTGATTAAAGGCCACAATAAGAAAAGCTGCAATTAAATGCACATACTTTAAGTTTTCTTGCATTTTTACAAAAGCTTTTTATGGTTGCCTTGGAGATGCTATTTGGATCTCTGCCAATTTTCTTTAAAATATTCTCAACTCGTTGCTCCATTACAAGGAAATCAGCCTCAGACTTGGCCTGATAAATTTTCTGCAAATTTATATAATGCCTGGAAGAGATTACAGGACAAATTTCAATAAATCATTTACTTTTCACCACTGTATAGAAAAGGGAAGGCAGGAAATTCTGTTATCAAGAAACTAACTCAGTTGAAGATGTCATGTCTGGTATAGACCCCTCTAGAGGTGCCTCCCCACAGCCTTCATTTACAATGAACTCCTGCATATGGTGCATTATTACATGGACTTGAAATTAACAAATCAACGAGGTAATATGATAGGAATATGATATAACATACATAAATTGATACATACACATATGTACACACACATATATATATATATGCTAAATACAATTCAACCCTCCTCCTATTTCAAGGGTCTGTTGTCCCTACAGCCCTAGACCTGTCCTTATTTGGCAGCCCTGATTGGATGCTTCTTGGAGGGCCAAGGGCTTACACATGAAACATCTGCTTCCATAAACTTTAAAATGAACCAATACATTATTGACATGTGACTAAAGAAAAAGGAGAAAAAGAAAGCAATAGGGAAAAGAAAGCAAAATAGAGTTTAGGAGACGAAAATGGTAAAAGATGGGAGAGAAGTGGACTCCTAAATTTTCCTGTCATTGTCACTAATACCTCTAGCTTCTGACACTTTCCTCCTATCTTCCTTCCTTAATTTCCTCTAATTTCCCAGCCCCCTTTACTCTTGTTTTATTCTCCTGTCCTGCGTCATCAATAAATAACCTAAACTACACCGAATAACATAGTTAATAACCACTGACTCTAAAATTCACATCAAACTTACAAATATAATTTGAGGGGTTGTTGTCCCATTAAGCATCATTGAACACAATCTAAATGTAAGTGTGCCAGTCCAAAAACACGAAGGTAAGCAAACTAATCTTGGATTCTACTATTAAAATTGGAAATCACCTTTAGAGCTGCCATCATCACCCAAAAGTCTGATGAATTAGAACCAACTTCAGTACAGCTATCGTTAATTATCTTTTGCAAATCTGCATCTGGGAGAAAAGAAAAAGAAAAGGATATGGGTAGGGACACAAGAGAGAAAAGTCAACCACAAAGAAAATAGAGATTTTTGCTTTCACATCTGAGACCAAAATTACCTATTTCAAACTCAAAAAGGAAAAAAATAAAGGTACCAAGAAGAAGGAAAAAAAAGTCGATTGTGTAACAATTTTCTTTTGGCTGTCAATAGCATAAGAATTTCAAATTGAAACTACATTTGGAAAGTTAAGAAGTCTAATAAACCATAAAAGCATATACTCCATTCCATTTTGACATATATAGGTTTTGTAATACTCAATATTGTAAAAGTAGTTCAATTACATTCAGACAAGGTCAGGGGCACCAAAATGGTTGTTCCAAATATCTAATCAATGAAGGTTACACCAACTGCAACCCAGCGAAAGTGTGTTGATGATAAGTGGTTTATCTGAGTACCATGGAAAATTAACAAACCTGGATATGGATGAAGTCCCCAGATTCATACCTATTACATTATATTTCAAACAAATAAACAAACAAATAGCAATGCCCGTTGAACTTAGTTCTCCAAAAACTTCATCTTAGTTTAATGAGAGAATACTTACTAATCCCTCGAGGAGCAAAGACTTTGAAGGAGGCATCAATAGCTTCCTTGTAGTTGTCCTCATCCATTGCAATCATCCTACTTTTGAGAAGTTCCTAAAATATAAAATAATTTAAACTAAATCAGACCATAACATACAGCATTAAAAAGGAAATGTAAGCAAAAATATGAACCAAACATATTAAACCTTAAACTGTCTTTTCTCTTCCCTGGTTGAAGGGAGGACGCCACCATGGCCCTTTGCCCACTCATGAGCCATCTTGACAAGAATGACAACATAAGGTATGTGCTTGTGGGCAACAGGATCTGGCACATTTAAGTCAATTGTTTCCACAAACCTGTTATATTTAAAAATAAAAAATCATACATAATAACAGCAAATGTT